GGAACTGGCTGATTTTATTTAGCGTAATGATCCTCAAGGTTCATCTGTGTTGTAGCCTGTGGCAGATTGTCCTTCTCTCTTAAGGCTGAATAATATTCTTTTGTATGTGTATCGTATGTTTTGTTTATCCATTCTTCTGTCGATGGACATTTTGATTGCTCCCACTTTTTGGTGGTTACAAATAGTGCTGCTGTGAACATGGGAATGTAGATATCTGTTTGGGTCGCTGCTTTCAGTTCTTTTGGGGTATATATCCAGAAGTAGAATTGCTGGATCATGTGGGAATTCTATATTTAATTTTTTTTACACTTAATTTTTTGAGGAACCACCAGAGGGTTTCTAAATAGTGTATATTTTTAAAGATTTTATTTATTTCTTTGAGAGAGAGAGAGAGCGTGGGGGGAGGAGGGGGAGAGAGAGAGGGAGAAGCAGACTCCCCACTGAGCAGGGAGCCCGAGGTGGGGCTTGATCCCAGGACCCTGAGATCATGATCTGAGCCGAAGACAGATGCTTAACCAACTGAGCCACCCAGGCACCCCTCTAAATAATATTTGTAATAAACCTTCTTATTAAGGGAAATTTAAATGCAATAAGATAGAAAGAAGAGTATAATGAATTCTCATGTGTACCACATTTAGTTTCAATAGTTGTTTAGGATGATTATGTGGTGTGTAATGTGGATCAACTTATTAACTGATTGAGCAGTTGAGTATCAAATGATGAATCAGACACGATTCCTGTCAGCTGAGGTAACCCTGGGTGGTGGCGAGGGCAGGTCCGGTCCCCTCCTCCGGGAGCATGGCTGGCTGAGAGCCCCAGTCGCTGCTCTGGATCTACCATCTTGTTTGTGCAGGCTACACCCTCAGTGAGTGGGCTGCTAGTAGTGCGGTGGGGGGGCTGTTACCGACTGTGAGATGCAGGACTCCTCCATCGGTGACTTTGACTCAAGGCCTTTCCATCAGCCTGGTCAGGTCTTTCTCAGAACGCTCCGTGATCTGAGGCTCTATCCAATTTTCCTCCCTTGCCCTCTCCCCTTTTGCACTGGTCAGCTCAGCATCTCTCCTATTTCTCTTCCCTTACTTCTCTACAGGTGTTTCCCCTGGTAAATCTCTTACACATCCAATCCTGTCTGTTTCTTGGAGGACCTGAGCCAACCTTTTTAAGGCTTTACTTAAGTTTTGGGTCTTTTTCACATCCCAGAAACGCAAACAATTTGAACTTAAGAGGACTCATTCCTTCTCACATATCCTTCAGCCCCTGCCAGCAGGCATCTCTCACTGACCATCTTTTTCTGCAAGTTGAAATCATTTTGGCCGTTCTCCATTCACTGCACTTGGTTTCCACCATTTACCCAAGTGTATGTGTCCCTCTGGTGTGGAGGAGTTAGTCCCTCCTTATAGTCAGAATCTTTGGGACTCATCTTTCTTGTCAAAGTTTGCTTATTAAGGTATATCCCAAATGAAGATAGTTTCCTATCTAAGTGGGCTTCTGACATCAGCCTTTAAAATATGTGTTTTTCAGCCCCACTACACATGAATATAGATGGATGAAGAAAATGAAAAGTGTAGTGGGTGCTGGGATTGATCTGTCTACTGGGTAGCGCGAGCCACGAAGGAGGGGACGTTAGACTCAAACTGGGGCCGGGGTGGTAGAGGTGGTGGGTGTGCAGAGAGCAGAAAGCCCAGGTAGGATCCTACTTGCTGCAGTTGCCCGGAGGGGGTGAGGTGGGGTAGGGGGTGGGGAGTAGGTGTGGAGAGGAGTGGAAGTAGCCCTACTCAAAAAGGCCTCAGTATGAAAAAAAAATCATTGTCATCAAAAGACCTGATGCTTATTTTACATTCATTAGGTACACTGTTCTAGGTGCTTTCCATGCAACTCCATGAATCCACACAACAGACGATGTTTCTTGCCCCACTTTCCAGAGGAGGAGAATGAGGGGCAGAGTGAGAGACTGGGGGGCTTGTCAAGGTCTTAGCACTGGAGAGGGGTAGAGTCAGGATATGGACTCAGGCTGGCTCCTGACTGTGTGTTCGTCCCCCGTCTCCCCCACTCCTAACACCATGGGGCAGGCCTGGGAACTGGATGTGGGTGCTAGAGAGAAGGACGGTCAGAGTTCAACATTCTAGAACCTGGTACACTAATCTTTTCATTTGACCTCAAATGCAGAGATAGTGGTATCATTACTAATGCTTACTCTAATAGAAAAGACAGTATTTAATATTTATAGCAAGCCGATGCCATTTATTTAAGCAGATGCAATCACTGACATGTGGGTTATCTATCTGTTGCAATACCACATACAGAGAAATGATGGGTATTCCTGAACTGAACGTTCATGAATCTTTCCGTGCTCCCATCCCATACCGCTCATAACTCAGCCTTTTTCTTTCTGAATCGTAATAAAATGTCTTCACTATAATGTGTCATCTTTACCTGCAATTAAAACAGAATAAGGATATATGAGTCAAACGGTACATTTTTATTCTTTTCAAGTTCTCATCTCTATGAGCTGTGGAATAAAATAACAAAAATGACAAGAAAAAGTTGAAATATATCTGTGGATTGATTTCTGTGTCCTATTTCTAAAGCAAGCAAGAAAGTGTTCATGTTAAAGTAGATTTCCTTTCCAAAAATGTACAGCTTCTTAAAAGACTATAAGCCATTGACATACAATTGCTTTGAAGTGTAAAATTATTTTAAAAGTAAAAAAGACTTCCAATTTATAAATTTCTTCGGCTATTCCTTCAAAGTCTTATTTATTCTCCCTGAAAGCACTCAGCAAACCACAAATGCAATAAAGAACAAATGGGCCTGGGTGGCTCAGATGGTTGGGCGTCTGCCCTCGGCTCGGGTAATGGTCTCGGGGTCCTGGGATCGAGCCCCATGTTGGGCTTCCTGCTCGGTGGGAGGCCTGCTTCATCCTCTCCCTCTACTGCTCCCCCTGCTTGTACTCTCTCGCTCTCTCTGTCGAATAAATAAATAAAATCTTTAAAGAAAAAAAAAAGAACAAATGTCCTAAATGCAAGATGGAATCAGGGCAACAGCTATTAGTCTGGGATAGGTGGTATATTGACTCGGTGTATAACGGCTATTTGTTTTCTTTATTTACAATCACTTAAGTCTAATTGCTTTAGAAGATAAAAGGTAATTTTTGATTTATGCAGAAAACCTGGGGGAAAAGTTTCTGAGCATTTTAATCGTTTTTTTTTTTTTTTTTTTTTTTTAGGGGGGTGGCAGAGGGAGAGGGAGAGAGAATCTTAAGCAGGCTCCACACCTAAAGCGGAGCCGATGTGGGGCTCGATCTCAGGAGCCTGAGATCACGACCTGAGCCGAAATCAAGAGTTGGACGCTTGACAGACTGAGCCCCCCAGGCTCCCCGGGGCATTTTAAAAGATATTCACAGCTAGGCTCTGGGTGCCTTCTGGAAGAAGTTGCATCCTGTGTGAAAGTGTCTCCCCAGTTTTTACATTATCATCGCTGCCGTGTTCCATACAGTATCACTGTTGCTTTCCAGGGGGTGAGGCCCTGTGCTATGGTACTGAGCCCACTCAGCTGGCCGGGTGGTGGGACGCAGAGCCTTCTCCGGGAGGGTGGGGAAATGCGGCCGGCTCACCAGGGGGACTGGGCTCTCTGCTCCAGCTTCTCCCACTTAGAGCCACGCTCAGCATGTTATGAGGGAAACCAGTAGTCCTTGCACCCCATGTGAAGGTGTGTTGACTTCTTCCTCCCGCCTGTCAGCTTGGCTCTGAGCCTCCTGCCACTTCTGAGCCTCCCCCCTCCCCCCCCCATTGCTCTGGGGGGTGGGATGCAAAACCCTTATCTGGTACTACTGGGGAAAACCTGTTCACAGAGACTCTGATGCCCTTGTCTACTGAGTCCTCTGCGGCACCTTGCTGGGAAATATTTATGGATAATTTTGGTGATGCTTTACCGGGACAGAGCGTCCTAGGCCCTCATCATCATCATCATCATCATCTTCATTAAGTGCCCAATTCTGGGTGATTTTCTGTTTGATACTGAATCAAAAATTAAACAGCCTAGATTTCCTCTGTGTAGGATTATAACTTAGGGTAAACACCATTGCCGAAGGGATGGGCACAAATTTGCAAATATGACCGAGAGATGAAACCAACTTGTTAGCAGCCAGCATGGGTGGACCCATGATTGGCATATCAGAAGGAGATATGTAGGTAACGGGGAATCTCGAGGAGAAGGAAGTAGTTTACCTTTCTCTGGTTAGTATTTCAGGGGGACAGGGACAGCAGAGCTCCCCTTCGCTGAGTCTCAGTGGTCAAAGAGAGCGTGGGGGTGGTGGGTATTCTGGGGTTCTCGGTGCTCAGCTTTATGGAGAGGAGTCATGAGTTGACTTAAGTTCTGACTGCTGGTACTGGAGGTGGGTCGAAGGAGCAGCGCCTGAGAAAGAAACCAGGTTCAGACTCAGACCTGGGTTTGAATCACAGCCTTGTGACCAGCTGTAAGATCTGGGGCAAATCATGCAACTGGAATTCTCAGCCTCGTTTTATTTGTCTGTAAAATGGGAATAACATCTGCTTTGCCTGATGTATCTGAGATCCCTGGCCTGTATCACAAAGAGCAATCACTGCTATCTTGGTACAAAGAAGGGTCAAGGCAAGTAACAATGTCCAGAGGGCCCACACGAAAAATTCTGGAGGGTTGGATATCACCATGAATTTGTGTTCCCTAAAGGCAGCATGGCCCTGGGTTAAAATCTAGGTTTTTGTGCTATAAGTAAGTAGATCCACAATCTAAAGAAGATGAAACTTTTTTTTTTCTTTAAAGCTCTCAAAACCCTGTAGGGAGAGGCAGAGAAATCCACCTTATTTCACACTTGCGTTTCTGGACAGTGGCTTTGGAGATGGTGGGTGGGAGAGGGATCTAAGCTGTGGGTAAGCTTCAAGACCTCCACCCTGCGTCTCTGTACTGCCTGCTAATGCTGAGCCACAGCTTCCTTTTTATGTTTCCACATGTTTCCTCTGTAGCTACAAGCCTGCCCAGGCTGCAGGAGACAGGCCGTGGGGTCCAGATGTGGGCTGAACTCTGTCCCGGCCCCACTGCAGTCCAAGTTGGCACGAGGAGATGAGGACCTGTCTTCGGAGCAGCCCACCAGATGCCTCATGAGGAGCGTGGGCAGACCAGATGAGAAGTGCACAATTTCTGATTCAGAAAACCCTGGGGCTAGAGCTTCTCAAACGTTCCCGCTCCATGAGCCCCTTCCTTTCTCTTACCCCGAGCACAAGAAGACAATGAGGAGTAGTGGGCAGAGAGTGCCCAGGAGACCTGAATTTGAGTTCTGTGTAATCTTGGGTTCCCACTACTCACTCCGGGCTAGGTTTTCTATCAGTAAATGATCAAAGTGGACAGAGGTCCTTCCAAGTTGCAATGCCTGGGCCTTAAACTCCAAGGGCGGGCAGAACCTTTCCCGCACCTCCCCCCCCCCCCCCCCCCGCACAATGGCCCATGTGCCCAGGGCTCTGTTTTTTGGGTCTCTGCTTCTCTGACTGCCCCAGAGCTTGGCTGTTTGCCACCTACCTTCTGGGTGAAGCAGAGGGTGCTAAGGGCTTGTGCTTAGAAAGGAAGTGAGAGAAGTCAGAGCCTGCTGCAAGCCTGCTGCACCCCTTGGGGAGGGTGAGGAGGGTGGGGCAGCTGAAAGTTTGTGTTCATTTCTATTTGCCTGGTGGAAATTGAGACCGGGTTGCTGGGAGCCAGAGACCATCCAATAAACACTATTTTCAGGACAGGAGTCGGGGGTCTCTACTCCCTGAACATTTCAGTTCTCTGCTTCAGGATTTTTTCATGAAACCTTTCAACAGCAAGCACTTAGCTAAAGCTTGGCACTGTTCCTCGGCCGCTGGCCTTCCTGTCCAACCGGCCGGGCTGCCAGAAGTGGCTCATTGTATTTTGGGGCAGTGGGGTTTAGTGAGACCTAGGATCTCATTCTTACATTTTTCTCCTCACAGTCCATGCTGGAACAACAAATCTCATGCCCAAGAATGGAGCTGAAGAAGCTGAAAGGAAAGCGGGGTCCACACAGGAGAAACGAAGGAGGGGATTAAGAGAGATATTATAGGAAACATCTCATCAATGTGGCACCTTCATCATCTGGATATTCCAGAGGAAACCTCCAGAATGGCCCGCTTGCCAAATGTAGATACATCTAAAGCCAATAAGATTTTGTGACCCATAGTATTCTCTGCCTGGTGCCCAGCGATATGCTCAGTGGAGGTAAAAATGCAAAGTACGGCCTGGAAAGAAATTTATTTTTGTGGTTTCTTAGAAATGACTGCCGTCCGTAGCTCTTAGCACGTGAAGCAGCAGATGGAGTTGCATACGCCCCATGGGAGGGAGGATGGGTGCAGCGATTTCTTTCTGACTCCAGTGTATTTCTTACTGAGACACAGGAAGGCTCATGGAATTTGATGCCCCGGCTCATCACTGCTCAAGACTCAATTCAGCCCAAATTGCTCCTGTTGGAGAAGTGAACTCGGATGGTTCCTTTAATGAGGCAGGAAGGGGAAATTCCATTTTCTGCCTGAGCTCAGTGCAGCCTGCCCGAAGGCTGAGGGGTCCAGATGCCTAGCCGGTGACCGACTTGGATCCAGGAGCCGCAGTGTCAGCAGATCTGGAGGCTCAGCCTCGCTTGGAATCAGATGCTATTAAAGCAGAACAGAATCTCCTCTGAACAAGCTGCCACCACCGCTCCCATGGCCACCATCTGCTGTAGCAATGTCCCCACCGTGATGTGCTCCCTGCTTCTTCTGGTTACCTTCCCATGCATGTAGTGCCGCCTGATTCGGGAGGCTGTAAGCTATAAATAATGGCTTTAGCACCCGGCTCAAGCCAGGAGCAGAATTCTCTATGGTGGAATCGTGCCAGCGCCCAGAAAAGGCAGTGGTGGCCCCTCATCTGCCTCCCTCCCTCCCCCCAGTTCCCTCCCGCCGGTCCCCACCCTTTCTTTTTCCAGGCGTCTGGGGCTCTCTCTTGTTTGGCAGCTGCATCTGGTGGACCACCTTGGAGCAATGAGCTTCTGCCTCCCAGCTCGGTGAAACTTGCAGTTTGAAAGAGAGCCTCCAGAAGAGAGTAGCGCGATTCCAGAAGAACAGACTTGTGAATGGTGGCTCGGCAAGTGCCCAGCTTGCTGGCTCCCGGGCCGGGGAGATACTGTTGCACAAGGTGGCCTTTGGAGTGCCCGTCCTCTGAACTAGACCATCTAGGTCATTTGCTACGTTTTTGGGAGTAGGGCTGGCACTGACACAAATTAATTTCTAATTCCGCCCTCAGAGTAGCGGCACCCAAGATCTGGGACTGTTGGCAATTAGTAGGCTGCCCTGGGGGCAATTTCTTCAGACGTTTTTGTCATTTCTTTTAGCACAGGGTTCTAACCTGGTAGTAACTGTAGGGCTTTGGGTGTCTTAGGGAGCTAAAACAAAATATCATAGACTACGTGGCTTAAACAACAAATGTTTCTCTCTCATAGTTCCGGAGGCTGGGAATCCGAGATCATGATGCTGGCTGATGGGGTTCCTGGTGAGGGCTTGATGCCTGGCTTGCAGATGCTGGCTGCCTTCTGGCCTTCAGAGGGGGTGGGGGAGGGAGAGGGAGAGCCAGGGACAGAGCTTTTAAGGTTGAATCGGCTTGAGAACCCCAGGCGCTCCAAATTCTAGTCTGTTGTTATTTCAACAACATTCTTGTGCCTCAGGTACCAGTTGTTCTTTTAGTTACAATATCTGCTCTTTCAGACTTCCTTTGACAAGAAATTTGTACTTCTGAAGTCAATTTATTTAATAATAAGAATATCTGTCCCTCCGATGGAAGTTGAAACCTAAGCATTTGCAGATGACACCATCAAATGAGTAGCATCTGCCTCAAAAAGCAGGCCTAATATATTCTGCCCTGGGGAAAAGTAACAGGACCTCTTATAAGGAGAGTTGACAACTTGAATGAAAGTATCACGTGGTCCTTGAGATCAAATAGTGGCAAGAGTCACCTTAGAAAGAAAGCATTTTGCATGCTCTCAACAGGAAGCTTGAGACCCTTGTTTGACCTGATCAGTCTGATGAAGAATGAGAAAGACTGTGCCATCCAGGTGGGGGGGGGGTAAGGACAAGTACGTGCGGGAGGCAGGAGACCAAGGGACAGAGAGGCCAAGGTGGGCACACTAGGAAGGCAGAAGGAGCCCATTTTCCCCAACTTGATGCACTGACTCCTAGAGGCAGGTGTGTTCTGTGGTGGAGAAGAATGGACTGAAAGTCCTGTAATCGGAATCCTATAACCCGCTCTGAGGCCGGGCACACCAAGCAAACTGCTTTCAGGTTGTATTTCCGGGCTGGCCAGGCCAGAGACACACACGAGGGTCCTGAAAACTACAAGGCAGTGTAAGTGGACATGTTGGCTTTCTTGTTTCTCCCTCAATCTCCCATGAGCTTACATCCTCCAGAGCTGAATTCATTGTGTATGCTGACAACATGGAATATCAAAGCCTATAGAGGGGAGGACTGGCCTTGCCTGAGGGAGAGAGTCCCAAGCTAAATGTCACTTTGAGGGTCATTTGGCTGTAAGCCCGGCAGGACCTCCTGGTGACACTTCTAACGTGACCCGCACCTTCTTTCAGACTTCTTAACGTATGTAACCAGGGCAATTATTTATATACAGTGTAATTGAACTACATTTCCTCCAGCTATGACCAAGTTTAATCTCAACCTATTTTTCTCATTTAAGCTCTTGCCCCGCCTTCTCCTCCCAATTCCTGTTTTTCATTTCAAAAGCAGTTTATGAGTCTCCTCATTGTTGAAACACTCTTGAGAAAGTGAAATGTGACTTATCACCGGCTAGCCTGACGTACGTGTGATACAGTCTTGTCTTGGACAAAGCGGAGTGCTTTATTACCTTATTTTTGAAGAAATGAGTCATTTCTGGGTGTGTTTCCAAGAAACGGACAATTTAATAATAAAAATATTTGTCTTTATGTAAGATATTTGTCTTTATGTAATATATAGTAGAAGAGTATTTGTCTTAATAATAATGTTTTAAAGTAAGACGTGGTTGTACCTTACACAGGGAAAGAATGGGACACAGGATCTCCCACCAGATGAAGGGAAAGGATGAACACAAGAGTACTGACAACAAAGAAGACTGGAGGTGACTTTTGTGAGAACACCCGTAACAGTGAGAGCATCCCTCCGTATGTGTGTATCGCCTCACGTCAACTTTTTTTTTAGTACTGTTTTCACTTTTTCGTAAAAATTTTAAAAAGTTTTGTAGTGTAATATTTTTTAATTACAGCATCAGAAATAGAGGCACTATTTCTATTTACGATTCTGGAAATTAGGGGAAAAATGACTATTTGACAGTTGTTATACAAGGTACGTTGGTGATATAGCAGTACCAGTCAATTTTCCAGAAAAACTTGCATTCTGTAAATTGTTTTTGCACTGGATGAATGTCATGACAACTTTTTGAGGTAGGCTGGTTAGGCTATATTGTTTACTTTTAATGACACAGTGGGAACTGGAGAACGCTCCACCTCGAAAGAATGTTCTGGTGGTTGTGGGGAGCAATGCCACCTACGTGGTATGGGGGTCTGGGAACTCCAGGCTGCTATTGATTTGGAATCCAAATTCCCTCACAGATGCACCTGCTCTCTGGTGACCACTGCCTCCCACCAATCCCCATGCCCAGAATCTCATCAACTACCTACTGGAGAGAAATTGGTTTACTGATTTTTTTTTTTTTAAGATTTTATTTATTTATTTGATAGAGAGAGAGAGAGAGTGAGCGCAGGCAGGGGGAGTGGCAGGCAGAGGCAGAGGGAGAAGCAGGCTCCCTGCAGAGAAGGGGGAGCCCAATGTGGGACTCGATCCCAGGACTCTGGGATCATGACCTGAGCCGAAGGCAGTCGCTTAACCAACTGAGCCACCCAGGCGCACTTGGTTTACTGATTTAATCGATTTTTTTTTTTTTTTGGAGAAATTAGTTTACTAATTACTATTGTTGAGGGCCTATTACATGCAGGTCATCCTTCTAGATTCCAAAGAAAGATTTATAGACACAATCCTTGCTTTGGAGGCGACAGTTAGTGAGTAATAATATTAATACTAAGGATAGTTTCCCTTCATGAAGTAATCATCACTGTTCTAGATGTAGGGATACAAAGATAAATCGACATAATCTATGTCTTCTGGGAACTCACGTTTAATGCTGGAGTTAAAAGGATGAATCAGATACTATTCCTGTACTTAAAGGGTACAATCCAGTAAATACTAGTAAATATAAATAATAATGACAATAATAGCTTCTGTGTACTAGGCACTGTAATAAGTCCCTTGATTCTACTCCTTAAACCTTACTCTTTGCAACTGTATGTTAATAATTAATTGGGATAATTAGTTGTCCCAATTACAGAGAAGGATTTAGGGTCAGAAAGATAAAGTGAGCTGATATTAATCACCTGGGCAGAATATTGTGGAAAAGAGATCAAAGCCAGCCTGACTCTACAGCTTGCCCTATTTTCTCCGCACAAGAACAGAGGCCTGTTGCTTAGCAAAGTTTTATCATCAATAGGGAAGGCTCTCTTGCGTCATCTGCAGTGTTTTCAGAAGCATAATTGCCCAATGAAATGCTCTAGTGAAAACCAGTGTGGGAAAGCACACAGCCTCCAGGGTGGGCACCTCTGAAAGAAAGTGCATATTAATTAAGGTAGATTCATTGCAGTAAGAAACAAATTGGAGTCAAGAATGTGCAATGGCTCAAACATAATAGTTTACTTCTTGCTTATGTAATACCCTGAAGGGTGTTCTTTAATTAGAGCTTCCTGGTGGTGATTCAGGGACCCAACCTCCATCTACCCTGTGGCTCTGCCCTGTGGCTCTGTCGTCCTCCCCGCGTGGCTTCCAAAGTGGTTGTGTTTGTTGCATCAGGCCAGTGGGTGGAGAAAGAGCACAGACTGCTGTGCATGGGAGTTCCATGCACCAGACCGACAAGTGGTGCATGTCCCTGACAGTCCCCTGTTACGGTTCAGTGTTGTGGCTATACATAACTCCGAGGGAACTGGGCGTGAGGTCCAGCTATGTGTCCGGGAAAGACGAGGAATGTGGCCCCCAGTCTCGGCCCCGTGGTGGTTTTGCTGCACCTCCATACTGAAAGCACAACTCACCTGGCAGCACTAGGGTGTCCTGTGAAAGGGAAGGTGTTTTTTTAGTTATAGCCCCAGCAAAGTGGCCTGAAAGTTCTGGCTAGAGTAATTTGTGGAGCAGAGTAGGAGCAGGTTTCTGAAGGACAGAGAAGTCAAGGTGTGGTCAGGAGAGAGCTTCAGCACTGTTCACATTTCCAGAGTCCTCCTCCCATCTGTAAACTTATGAGGCTCTTACATTGGCTTTTAGTTGGTGCAGTCTCTGCATCTGACCCAGCGTCTCAGCAGGGCATGGGGGAGCGTCTGCTTCTTAGCTTTGCCCTGGACCGTGGAGAGTGGTGGAAGGCCACTGGGCCTTGGGCTCTCATTTTTCCACCTAACGTTCACTTGGCCTTCGGGTTAACATAGAGGACTCAGCAGTCAGCAGGTTGGAGAAGAAGAGGGTGGCTGAGGGATGAAGAAGCTGACCATTGGAGCAAAAGCAGAACACATTTTTTTTCTTTTCTCTAGATCTTTATTCTTTCCCTCATTTCCCTTCATTAAATGTGACTTTCCTCTTTGAAAGAATATTTGTGCAGATCGCCTGCCTCATGGGCCCCCTCCATCATCCATGTTATGTAAAATGTCTTCAGGAGACATGCTACCCAGAAGCTCCATGGGGAGAAGAATCACAGGACTGGGCCCCAAGACAGCTACGAAGGTGGTGACATTATTAGGCACCTTTGCTTTTCATTTTGTGTCTTTCCAGCAGGTGCCTTTCCTGGGTTTACTTCTAGCTCTGTTGGTTGGAAACATACCTGATAAAGGGTTCTCTATAAAATCTTCACTTTTTGTGTGGGGGTGGGTATTTCCACTGTGTCAGGCTGCTCTTCTGTCATCTTCAGAACAAATCTTTGCTGATGGGATTTCTGGCTCCCCAACAATTTCTGGGCATTGTAGCCTGGGTGAATCCTCCTAGGTGCTCTCAGAAGCTATAGATGAATTCTTGAGATTCATCTTCTTGAGACCAAGTTTTTTCTGGTGAAGTTGGATGATTTTATTCAAGCCCTGAGTGGGGTCCATTTTCCTATATCCATGGAAGGAATCACTGGATAAATTAGAAAAAGTACTCAGCCACCACAAATCATTTCCTTTATAGGTCAGAGGTTTTCATCTTTAGACAATGCACTGAGTTAGGCAGTTGGTAAATTATGAAGGTATTATTTAGTGGGAGAGGTACTGGAGTTGGAACATTTGATCTACACTTAAAATTGAAAACAGAGGTTCTTAATATGTATGCAGCATAAATAGATTTGATGGCACACCGGAAGAGACTGAGAGTCTCAGAAGAGTGTAACAAGTAAGCGATGATCACAGTGCGGCTGCTATCACGGTATGGTCATGCCTCCCAGTGTGTAGAACATTCTGCCTCGCTCCCACACCGCTCACCAGTTTCAGTGGTGCTCATCTTGGTAGACCTAATGATTGCCCTGAACTCCTTCTCTGATATACCAATAAGGCAAAATTCTTGTGGGTTATAGTGAACAAACAGCTTTTATTTGGATCCAGATGAATTATGATCCTTACCTCTTATTCGCAGCACATTGTCCTCTACTCTATAACATGTAAATGAAATTATGGCAACACACCCATGTAAGAGTACACCATGAGTAGTTGCCACTGACTGTGGACCCTGTGAGTTCTAGAAAGGGTTGAACATACAAAGATGAACACTGACTAGCTTGGAAATAGCACAAGGCTAATTTATTTATGGGTTGAATTGTGTTTCCCAAAAAGATACGTTGAGGTCCTAACTCCCCATACCGTGAATGTGACTTTATTTGGAAATAAGGCTTTTTGTTTATGTAATCAAATTAAGTTGAGGTCATCGTGGATGATGGTGGGTCCTAATTCGCTGGTGTCCTTATAAGGAGGAGCAAATTTGTGCCCAGAGACACACAGGGAGAAGGCCACGTGATGACAGAGGCACAGACTGGAGTGAATCAGCTGCAAGCCAAGCAATGCCAAGGACTGTTGGCAAGCACCACCAGCCAGAAGAAAGGCATGGAAGGGATTCTCCCTCAGAGCCTACAGAAGGAACCAACCCTGCCAACACCTTGATTTCAGACTCCCAGCCTCCGGAGCTGTGAGAGAAAAAAATGTCTGTTGTTTTAAGCTCCCCAGTTTGTGGTGCTTTGATATGGCAGCCGCACAGGAAACCGGCCCTGAGGGGAATGTCAAAACCAGTCATTTCCTCCACCAACGGTGTTCTGTTACAGTTGTGCCTTGTGTCATGGAGACCCCGGAGATGCCTACTGGTGGGAAAATGACTTTGATGCAAAATTGCTTCCCCTTGGAGCCAAGAGAAATTCTCTCTCTCTCCCTGCCCCAATTCCCTCTTTCTCTCCCCTCCCCCACCCGCCTCCTGGCATCTTCCAAGTTCACTCGTTGGTAAAAGCGTCCCCGTAATACTCATACTTTCTTAAAAAATATGTGTTGACAGGGGCTTATGTTTTTTTCTTTCGTTTTCAGATGCTGAGGTTTTTAGTGAGCCCTTTCTGGTCAATACTGCAGGGTTTCCATCAAATAGCACTAGAAGTCTTTTCAAAGACCTGCGAGATCGAAAAGATCCCAGCCTGTTGAACGGAGAGTAATTGGTGTCACACACCCGCCTCATTCTTACAAATATCTCCTCTTCCCTTGCGGGCAGGAACCGGGAAAAGGAAGAGGTGCAGGGGGCGTGGGAGTGCAGGGCTGCGCACCCTGAGAAGAGGAACGGGCCTTTTGCACATTACTCGCATTACTCGCATCTGCTGGTTAGCTCCGAGCCCCCTGCGGAGGACAAGGGGCCTGTGAAACCACCCCAGCAGTCCCACGGCCACCTTCGATGATATGTGGAAGGGAAGAGGTTGAGGTAAACGCAACCCAATTAATCAAATAAGGATTAAGGGCAAGCAAAGACAAAAATAGTACCTTTACTGATTTCTGGGAGATAATTAAATCAGACTTACTGCACAGGGAGAGAAAAGATACGGTAAGTTTATAAAAGAGAAGACCTTAAGTTCTGCAACATTAAGTTGATGCTCTGCATCAACAAAGCGAAGAAATCCCCTCCTGGCGGGGTGATACCGGCACATTGGGATAGTCAGTAGCTATTAAAAAAGATCGCAAAGAGTAAACAATAAAATATCCATAGCTATTTGAGCATAATAAACTCTTATATTGAATAGTTGGATGAGATGTTCTTTTAACTGGCTGCATAAAATACAAAATTTTCCAACACAGAAAGACAGCTCACTTTTTTTTTTTTTTTTTTGCTGTTAGGAGTTCTCACTTAACATCCCTGCTGCCAATTTTAATTGATATTCCACTGAAGGTATTAATAAAATTTTAGAACATACCACTAGTTATATATATGTATAGTATCTGAAACACACACACACAGTGTCTGAAAAAGATGTCTTCTCAGCTCTTATTTTCTTGGAGAGAGCTCATGGCAACCTTCCTGCCTGAAAGGGCAACTTCCTTTCTCCTCTCTACTCATTGATCAACAAAATGCATCTACACATATATACTAATCACCCGGAGTGTAAATAATATATTTAATGTGTATTCTTACTCAGTGTTTATTTCATAAATAACTGTCATGATCAGGGTCCTTGGATTGCAGGCAACAGATGACTTTGGGCAATTGAAGAAGGGAATCTCCTGGAAATTTACCAGGAACTCAGCAAATCCTTGGAAAACTGAGAATCAGACTTGGTAATAATCATTATTTAAGGCTGCTCTGGGGGCTGGGAGTGTTGTCAGACCAGGAACAATCATGTTTGGGCACCACAGGTGGGAAGTGTGGAATTCCAGCAGCTTCTTCCATCCCAGTATCTCTCACATAAGATGCAAATCCTGGAAGACAGCAGCTGATTCCCCAGGCTTCTGGCTTTTCCGAGGAAGTGTGGAGAAGGCTGGTTAATTTGACATTCTTAGTAGGATGCAGGCACTGGATTTACTGTAGGTAAATTTCCATCAAATAGACTACTATTTGTCTATTTCCATCAAATAGACTTCTAGTGCTATTTGATGGAAACCCTGCAGTATTGACCAGAAGGGGCTCACTAAAAACCTCAATACAATGGGAAAGAAGTAATTCACCAAAAGAAAATTTGTGTCCTATAGGAAGGAGAAGTGAATATTGAACTGTCAAAAATATTAAACACATATGCACATAAAGCTCTACTGCAATAGTTTATATGTATGTCTTTACATTTGATTTAAGTTATTGTGCATGCATACACAAATGCATATTATATTACATAGACCTATGCTATTTTTAAATAGTACCTTGCAATGATAGTGCAGGTCCGATGTAGATTTTTGAAGGCCATGAAACACTTAGAAAAAAGGTTTATTTATTTATTTGAGAGAGAGAGAGCATGGTGGGGGGGGGGGGGCAGAGGGAGAAGGAGAGAGAAACTCAAGCGGACTCCATGCTGAGTGCAAAGCCCGATGTGGGGCTGGATCTCATGACAGTGAAATCATGACCTGAGCTGAAATCAAGAGTCGGACGTTTAACCGACTGAGCCACCTGGGTGCCCCTTTGAAATACTTTTTTTATGATTCTTTTCTGGAAATATTTTTCCTAATCTGAATGATTTCTTTTTTAGGGTCTAGCAGAGAAGGAATGAGGATAATGTATTGAATCAAAGCACATCTCTTGATTTATGGGGTGCCTCAGTAGTGACTTGGAGATGAACAGATCATTAATCTGATACTTATTGAAAAGGTGGATGGAAATGCATAGAGAGAGAGGCATTGAAATTACAGCAGGACCACTGGCCTTTTGACGTTTTCAGGTAAAGGATCACAAGTATAGTAGAGTCTGGCTTATGATGCAAAACAGGTACTTGGAAAAGAAGAAGGGAATGAACGTGGAATCATCCAGTCTAGGTCATTTTTGAGACTTGTGAAGCTAAACTAAAAAATTATCAGATTTTATGCTTGATGAGTATGTCTTTTGTCTTGGCTTTGTTTCTAGAAAGAGTTAGTTGTTGTTATTTAGCTATATTTGTGGATAAACATCTTGACGAAATTCAGTATAGGTACTAAAATTTTATCTGATTAAAAAGTGGGGCAATCACAATCAATTCATCTACAAATACAATTAAGAAGCCTAACTTTTTAAAAAGTGATTTTTTTAATGTTTAATTTATTTTTTAGTAATTTCTACATCCAGTGTGGGGCTTGAACTCATAACCCCAAGATCAAGAGGCGAATGCTATACTGACTGAGCCAGCCAGCTGCCCCAGAATTACTTTATTTTTTTAGATTAACATATAATGTATTATTTGTTTCAGGGGTACAGGTCTGTGATTCATCAGTCTTACACAATTCACAGTGCTCACCATAGTACATACCCTCCCCAGCGTCCATCACCCAACCACCCCATCCCTCCCACCCCCTCCTCTCCAGCAACCCTCAGTTTATTTCTTGAGATTAAGAGTCTCTTATGGTTTGTCTCCCTCTCTGGTTTCGTCGTTTCATTTTTCCTCTCTTCCCTATGATTTTCTACCTTGTTTCTTAAATACCGCATATTAGTGAGATCATATAATTGTCTTTCTCTGATTGACTTATTTCACTTAGCATAATACCCTCTAGTTCCATCCATGTCGTTGCAAATGGCAAGATTTCATTTTTTCTGATGGCTGCGTAACATTCCTTTGTATATATATACCACATCTTCTTTATCCATTCATCTGTCGATGGACATTTGGGCTTAAAGAGTGATTTCTATTGAAACATATTCTAGTAATTTGAAAATACTGACATTTGTGATTTAAAAAAGGCCAATTATAAGTTATTACATTTTGAATCCTGAGTTTTTGTTAGTGGCTTGACCTATAATCACTGATACACATTCTCTGCCAATTGAGTGCTTCCAGTAGAGTTAAATGTTACAAATTTGGGTGGACCAAAAGAAATGTTCTTTTTTCTTTATGCAATTTTCTTTTAAATCCAATCAAGCAATGCCTTCATTTTTTTCATAATTCTGCCATGGTGGTGTTCAGTTGAAGTTTGTTTCTTTTATTTTCCTTAGCTCTCCAGTAATGTGTAACACTTTATTACCTCTGAGGCTGACTGGGTATGTGAGCATCACAGGATGGTCGGCCCTGTAAACCCGCTTTGCTTTTACTGATATGAGGCTCTATGAGCTTGTCAACTGTTGTTAAACCAGAGCGGGAAGTGGATGGTAATGTAATTGGTCTCTAAGGTGAAAAGTCAACAGGTTCCACGTTACTATAATTTTCTTAATGCAAGAATCTTTAGCCATGGCATTAGCATATTTTGTGTAGTCTGGAAAGCAGCAAGGCATATATAAAAATGGGAGAATCTCAAACAAAATCTTAAGCAGGGGCCCTTAATGTGGAAATAATAGTTCCCTGGGACCTGGAGGAAGTCTGATGGAGAACCTGCTGGGTCAGAAGAACTAGATCATAGAAGAGGGCTTGTATTAGGGGAAGAGAAGCTAGAATGCTACTGCTTGGGGAGAGGTGGGCTGTGCTTCTTTCTCCGAGTTTCCTCCTATCATCCTACTCCTTCTGTGCTCCCTCCCACTCCTCCCAAATCCCTTCGAAACCTTTGTGTATGGGGATGGTTGCTATAACTGGGTTTAAAGGCTTTTCTCTATTATTCTTACAAGATGTCCCTGGAGTAGGCTAATATTATCATCATTTTACAGATGAAGGAACATATGTCACTAGCCTAGAGAAAGAAATTATAAAGAATTATAAAGAAAATGGCAAAGCAGAGATTGTTCTCTTAGTTACCTTAAAAAGGTTCACGATGTTCACATGCTTAATACTGGAGTAAGTGGGGGCGCCTGGGTGGCTCAGTTGGTTAAGCGACTGCCTTCGGCTCAGGTCATGATCCTGGAGTCCCAGGATCGAGTCCCGCATCAGGCTCCCTGCTCGGCAGGGAGTCTGCTTCTCCCTCTGACCCTCCTCCCTCTCAGGCTCTCTGTCTCTCATTCTCTCTCTTGCAAATAAATAAATAAAATCTTTAAAAAAAAAAATACTGGAGTAAGTGGTGTGAAGGTTCAGAAATCCCTGGAAAATTTCAGAAGGAAAATGGCATCCCCACCCCAAGGATTTTTTTTTCTTTTTTTTCCCCTACAAACATTTCAGAGGGAAACGTCTCAATTCTCTCAGAAAATGAAAAAGAAAAAAATTGTCTCTCCCTGTCCTTGGAGCATTTTTAAAAAATGGGTTTTCATACCTCACCCCAGAGACAGGGGAAAATTGGGTACTCTCTCGGGGCTTCCATATTTTGGAAGGTCCTATATTCCAAGTGGAGCTGGGTCTTTGGAGTCAGGTTTCTGCAGCAAGCAGCAGAAGGAGGATGGCCAGCAGCAGATGCCAAGACAGCTTTGTGGTGTTCCTGCATGATTAGCAGCGTGGGATGGCTTCTCTCTTGCCCTCAAGTCACTGAGGCCGAGATCAGGGTTGGCTGCCAGACAGCATCCTGGTGACATATCCTTCAGGACATATGTCGGCAGCCTTCTTGGGCTCCTTATTCCCCTCTGATTGTCTCTTTTGTCTGTACTACTAATCAAACTCTAGGGCAAGTAAAAGTAGAGGTTAATTTTGTAATATTAGATCTCAAAGAGGAGGAATTATGAGAAACACGTGTACTATACTAATTCAGTGATTGATTTTGTTTTCTATTTTAACTCCACTTGACACGTGAGCTTCGCCAAGTCACAAGTGTCTAAACCTCAGTGAACTCGTCCATAAAATTGAGCCCATCTTCCAGGTGTTGACAGGATGTTTTGAAGGATAAGTGAGTTAAGATGGGTAAAGCTGATACACAGTACAACCTGGGTCTGTATTGGGTACTTTGGGTTGTAATCCCAGGTCTTTCAGACGAGGTCTGAATTCTGCCTTTTGGAGTTCCACGTTAGCGTTATCTGTGCAAATTTCAGTGTAGAAATGTGTAGACAGAGCACCTCAGTCTTCGGAATCAGGTCTGTGGCTTTCGTAGATTGGTCATTACTCCAATCTCTCCCAGTTTGTGTGATTGCCACAAAATCGTGTAAAAGTGGTATCTCATGTTCTCCGTTTGATAAAGCATCCCCTACCCACCTAGGGCTTAATAAATTGGAAGTTTTACTGCTTAGAAAATAATCAGGTGTTAAGAGAAGCACAAAATGTACTCTCATTTTCTGAAGGTTAATAGGCTTTTTCTGTCTCTGTGTTTCCCTCCATAGCATTACCCTCTAACGTGAGGCTGCTTCTCCCGATGCAGCAGAGATTGAAATGTCACAGCAGCATGATCAATTAGATGATGTAGAAGAGAGGCATTTGCTACCTGACCTTAATCCACTGGGCAAGAGTAACTGCATAGAGAAGACTGAATACGGAGAGACTGCAAGGCAGAGGAAAGCAGCAGAGTAGAGTTTAAACGGGCACAAAGCAGCATAAATGTTGACTCGTGATGAAAAGGACATCCTCAGGATAAAGGCTTATTATGACGTGCGTTGGTGCACTTACTCATTCAATTCTGAGTGAGGACAAAATAAACATAAACACCTCTAACAACAACAAAAAATATATGGTAGGAAAGGAAGCAGGTAAGTTTTTGCAGGAAGTCTAGATTTTGGATCACGTAGCTTGTGAACCAAAGTGACAGGGAGAAAGATAGACGCAAACGATACCCATGCGGTCAGATGTTGGCAGTGGGAGACGTGACTAAGGGACCATGATAGCTGTCTTCCTCTCTTTAAAGCCCTATCCTCAGAAGGAGGGAGGGTTAGACACCTTGTGGTGGGAATGACAGAGAGGAGGGGTGTGGCTTACTGTAAGGAATGGCTTCCCAATATTTGGAACCTGACAAAGGTCGCTGGGGCAGCCCTGCCCAGCTCCCCTGGGGCTGCATCAATGGATAACCGTGGTTGTAGAGGGATTCTTGCATTAAATGAGATGACTTCAATCACTCCCTAATATGCCTGCTCTGGAGCTTTACACCCCCTTGGAGAGGTCTAAAATGGTTTTGAAGCTTGTTGAGGAGCAGAACTAAATGAACTTTGGAGCTGCTTAGGCTTTGATAGAATCAGTCCTTCTCGGCCGCTTGTGTGCACATTGTGGGCCTGGGAATGGTTGCGAGTCTATTTTGATTATGGGCAGCTGGTGTTAGCTAAGGGTTTTATCAGATTAGTCATCCCTAGTAACAATGATATGAAGCGTTTCCCCCGGATTATTAGTGGAGATCTGTTATGTTTACTCTTTTAGTTTTATACTTATTTTTCTTTTCCATTTAAGCGCAACTCAATGTAAAAGGGTTGTGGTTGGGAATCTGTTTCCCCAAATAAGCCACTATTTTTTTCTAGGATCCATTTGGTTGTTTCTATTTGTGGAGTTCCATTGTGAGACATCAACTTATCATAGCTGTGGAAAACTAGCAGGAGGTTCAGAGGAAAGCCATGGAAACGATGAGGACCAGGAAAATGAAATGTAAACATGTATCCTGGGAAGGTGAGGTTGAGGATAATGTTTATGCCTGTTTGCATGTCACTTTCCCTAGCACAGCTACTCAAATACATATATGTTGACTAACTTGTGTGGGGCTTGTGTACAGCTGTGGTCTTCTAGTTTACGAAGGCTAATGGGGACGATGTTTTCTATTGAGACCCGGGTATGAGCTTCAGGATGATCACATAGTAGGTACTCCAGATTTAACAGATATTCACTGGATTAAATTGAATTCAATGTTAGTTTCAATACAGGCATCCTGCTGATAGTAAAGATCATTAAACTTTAAAATGTGTTCTCAAGGAACACTGTGGCATCTTCATTTGAGAACATCTTTTAAATTGGATAGCTAATTATCTGTTTAGAATAAAAGCAGAGAAATAGTTCTGAGTACTTCATAAGGACTCATACAGTTCTTGATTTCATTTGTGTGCTTTGCTTGTGTGTAAGCAAAGCATTAACTCCATAACTCAGGGGTGAAATAACACATGCATAAAAGATGAATAGGTAGAAAGAAACTCCTTATTTGAAATTATTTTTATCTAATCAAAAAGTATATAATAGTCTTAATTCTGCACTATCAAAGTTCCTCATAAAAAATGATCACATATGGGGCGCCTGGGTGGCTCAGTCGTTAAGCGTCTGCCTTCAGCTCAGGTCATGATCCCAGGGTCCTGGGATCGAGTCCCACATCGGGCTCCCTCCTCGGCGGGAAGCCTGCTTCTCCCTCTCCCACTCCCCCTGCTTGTGTTCCTGCTTTCGCTATCTCTCTCTCTGTCAAATAAATAAAATCTTTAAAAAAAAAAATGATCACATATGTTCCTGAGAGTGCCCAACATGTATTACAAACCTACTGTTGTCCCCAGGAGAAATTGATTCTGGGAAAGAGAGGATAGAATAAAACTTTGACTTTTCTTGAAAAAGTAATTGCATGGAGGACATATTGTTTCAGGACAAATAATGCCAATAAGACTTAATAGTTTCAAGCTGGTAGATGCTTATCATTGTACCACTGGAGAAACTTTCTGTTCTTCTTTTTCTGGTTGATGGACACTATGGTAAACATTTCAGAGAAGGCTACCTCTCCAAGATCCATTATCTCCCTTCTCCTACTACCTCCATTCTCAGCCAGGAAGTTTAGGTGACATCGACCCTCCCTCCAGGTATATGATTAGGTGGCTCTGATTGGTTTAGTCTAATTGGCACATCCCAGTCTTCCTGTCCCCATGGGAAGAGCATGGGACACAATCTGGCCAATGAGAGTGTGAATTCCAGAAGAGAACTTCTCTTCCTCTGGATGGTGTGGGGAAGAGATGTGAGGGCTGACACTGCTGCAGCCATTTTGCTACAAGGTGGGAGAGCCCAGATCCCGTGAGATGAAACTTAACTAGCTCTCTGTTCTTTAGTTTGCTCATCTTTAAGATGAAGATGATAATAGTACTTTCCTGTAGGTTTGTTGTTGAAATTAAATTGTTTAACTTATATAAGATGTTTAGGATAGTAAGCACCAATAAATGATACTTATTAGTAGATATAGTATATTTCCTCTATTTTAAGAAAAAAAACCCATCATTTCCCTTCCCTGAGCTCAATAATGTTTTAGACTTGAGCTGTTTGGTTAATTGTATTTAATTTCACAAGTTCTTTTCTTTTCTTTTTTAAGATTTTATTTATTTATTTGACAGAGAGAGACACAGTGAGAGAGGGAACACAAGCCGGGAGAGTGGGAGAGGGAGAAGCAAGCCTCCCGCTGAGCAGGGAGCCCTATGCGGGGCTCTATCCCAGGACCCTGAGATCATGACCTGAGCCGAAAGCAGACGCTTAATGACTGAGCCACCCAGGTGCCCCAAATTATTTTCTTTTCTATTGGCTCCACACTTAAGTGATCTCTGCAAAACCTTCATTGTGTTTAAGACTTTCCAGAAAATTGGGTTTTCCAGTAATACATTGTCCATGTCAGCATTTAAATTATGAAAGCCTTGGGACTGATCTCTAAGAGCCATCTCTGGACTTCTCGTACCTCCAAAATACCGGATTCTTCTTGAACCGTAGCTCTGTCTGGGAATAGTTTTGCAGAGAAGGAGGAGTTGAGAGTGAGAGGAACGAAGATGGAGAAGGAAGAGCTATGATCCTGTTTGCTAGCAGTTCCCACAGACTGGACGTGTTTTCACATGGTAACTAACCGGGGGCATCTGCTGAGCTCCGAGAGTCTGAGCTAATAAAGGTCTGCATGTGCCCGTGTCTGGGAAGTCAAAAGCTGCGCACACACACGGAGGCTTCTCTGCTGTTCGTGGTGTCCCAGTAGCATTTCTTCCTTGAAGATCCATGTTGATCTGTTTATTATTTTAAAGAGAAGATGAGCAGAGATAGAGAATAATGGTTGGAATCCATTCTAGAAGAGGTTAAGTAATGGATTTTTCTTTGGAAAGGAACTATTCCATTTTAGTAAGAAATTTGTCAAGTTTTTGGTTATATTTCACAGAACAAAGACATTTGACATTTGTAGATATTCTTGTAGTGCTTTGGGAGAGATAGGAACCATGTGAAGATAAGCACATTTAAAAAAAAGGTCGGAGTGCCTGGGTGACTCGGTTGGGCATCTGCCTTCAGCTCAGGTCATGATCTCAGGGTCCTGGGATCGAGCCCTATGTCAGGCTCCCTGGTCAGTGGGGAGCCTGCTTCTCCCTCTCCCTCTGCCTCCACCCGCACCACTCATGCTCACTCTCTCTAGTGCTCTCTGTCTCTCTCTCTCAAATAAATAAATAAAGTCTTAAAAAAAAACAAAAAGGGTCTACAACATAGGTCACCTGTGGGCAGAGCTGTGGGCAGGGGGAAGACTTGAAGGGAAACTTCCATTTACTGTATATGTAGAGTACATCTGTATGGTTTGAATTTTATTTGATGGCAAATTTATGTATTACTTGCATAATTTTAAGAAATTAACTAAAATGTCAATAATCTCATCCAAGTTGAAGGTTATATTTTCTATGACTAATTGTTCAGATCCAGATTATTTTAACCATACCAGGTGTTTATACTTGAGTCACCTAATGATTCGAGTGAATCAGACTCTTAAACTTAAATGTTGGGTACACAGCAAACTCCTTATTTATGTTTGGGATAGTGTATAATTTAATGTTTCTGAAAGACCACCTTACTGATCTCTTCTTTGAACCCCCTCACACTACCCCCTTTTTAATACCGTAGAGGTTTAGGCTGTATTTACATCCGCAATGACTATTTTGCCTGAGAGATTTGTTCCGAGATAAAACAGCACACATTTATGGATATTTATGACTCTTGGCTTTCACCATTTCCTGTTGAATGAAAATCATTTGCCTTGTGAACGGAACTTTGCAGTAACCTCACACTCATGGTGATTGGAACTTCTGGTGCAGTTACATCCAGCAGCTCATGAAAAGTAGAAGTTTCAGGCAAGATGGGCCCTTGGGTCATCCAGCCTAACCTTTCAGTTCATATATGGGGAGAAGTTGGCCCAGGATGCTCAGAGGGATTTCCAAGATTCTTACATAACTATTAGGAGCAGGATGGGGACCAGAAGTTAGCTCCCCTGGCTCATTCTGCTTCCTGACACATGATGTACTGAGGAGTCACCCAGAAGTCAGCTTGCTCACTTCATTTGCATTCTGGATGCTAGAACCAGAGTTGAACCATGTGGGTGGGACTTGGGGAATCCAGATGACAGGGTGTGGAGTTAGTGTAGTAGAATGTAGTATAAATAAACAACGAAATGCAGGTTTAAACAGAGGAATATTTTACATCTGTGTAGCAGTTTGAAAAGATTATTTTCTTTCTGCTTATAAAAATAATACACTCTCAATTTAGTAAATTTTTGAAAGCACAAAGAAGAAAATTAAAATTACTCTTAACTGCATTGTCAAGAAGTGATCAAGATTAATATTTTGGAAGTACACACACATACATATGCGCATAATCCAGTCAGATCATGTTGCATCTATAATTTTGTATCCTGGTTTTTTCACTTAGTATTAATATGTTGAGCCTTTCCCCATGTCGCTCAATGTTCTGCAAAGAACTCGATGTTTAAATCGCTAACTAGCTAAGATTCTCAGGTCGTTCCTTTTGGTTTTTATCGTTTTGAATGATGAGCCCCGAGGACTGGATGAGGTGGAATAAATCCTGCTACGGAATGAAAAGAAAGGGTGCCAAGGTTTGGTTCTGTGATCTGCGACGTCAGCGTGGAACGTTCGCTGACAACGGCAGTGGAGCGCTGTCAGTCTCCCGCCTGCAGCAACAGAGGTCGCCGAGAGGCAGGTGACAGAAAGGCAATTCAAAGACACACACTAAATACAGTGTAATAGCTTTTTTTTTTTTTTTGTCCTCTCTATCAGCATAAATTGACAGTGCAAAGCACCGTTCAGACCACAGACTGGTCCCTCCAGGCCGCCGCGAGACAGAGCCCTCAACTTCCGGGTGGGCGCAGAGGCAGAAGCGACGCTTCCGCATTCAGACGCTCATTATCCAGCCTGTCCCCCTTCGACGCGTGGCTTTTAGATCGTCCCTGTTTATTACTCTTCTGCCAGGAGCAGGGCCATTAAGGGAGGAAGAGGGAAAATTGAAAACTGTCCACTTTGTTCCTTGCTAATCAGTTCTGCTTAAGGGGTGCGATGAAAAATGGGGTCAAGTAATCGAAGCACTTGCCTTCATCTGCTTCCGAGTTCTGTGAGTTCTGTGTTGCCATAGATAATTGAGAAACTTGCAGAGTTAGAAGCACCAACATAACCTCAAAGATGCAAGTCAAAATCAGCATCGCGGCCAGTTGATCACTTGGGGCTGGGTAGCATCTTAGCCTGGTAGGTCAGAGGGGACCCCACTTCTGAAGGGGGCGGAGCGGATGGGGCTGAGACGCAGGAGACACCCAGCCTCCCTCCGGTGCTCGGGCACAACCATGCCGTTCCTCCCCTCTTTCCCCACTTCCTCAGATGCCTCAGAGTTTGTTGTTCATTAAAGAAACTAATTATACCTCTGTTCCAATGAATTAAACAGAATTCAGGTAGGGAGCATGGTACTTTGGGAGAACAGAGAGTTTATGTAATGATTCCAGGAAATGTTCCTGAGTCTGATAAATACTCACAAGGTACTGAGAGCAATAAAGATGCAGGGGTGTTTCGCTTTCTTTGTGTTTTCATTGTGAGTTGGGTTGATGATAAGTCTGTTGCCAGCAGGGTATGGTTTCCTCCTGCGCAGGAATGCCAAATTTGCAGTGCTTGGTGGGGAATGAGCTAGGAATGTGATTTCTTCCTTTCTCGAGCAATTTTCTGCCTGCCTGCATGAAATGCTAATGAACGTCTCACACATGACAGAGCAATGAGATATATCCTTCCTTTGCTATTTTTGGCAGATTCTGACTTTACAAAGTTTAGGTCTTAATGTAATGGTGACAAGACACTTATAGTAGACCCTTCTTCCTCCTCCCCCAAATCTGTGCTCTGGCTTCTCCTCTCCCTGCAAAGAGCAGATGTGCTGAGTCTCTGATTTGAAATGAGCTCTATATTGCTGTGGTGCCCCGGCATCCCATCTTCTTCCACTGTGCCTCTGTGTCCAAGTCTGGGAAAAGTCTAGCTCCAG